TAGTACATGATGATATCATCATGCAACAATAGCTCTCCACCAATAGGAGGGCAACACAACCTTCTTGCACAGTAACTCCTCTTAAATACTTGCACTTCATTCTTAGACTAGGCAAAATGAAAGTGCACCAGAAGTGGAGAGGATAGGTGGGAAGGTGTATAGAGGTAAGTATCTATCTAAAATATATTTTCAGGTAAGGAAAATGTTAACTTCTGAGACAATACTTTACATATGCATACAGAATAGTTAGAATCCCACATTAAATTAGGTGGAGGGGCCAGTGCAACCATTAAACCTAGATGAGTTCCTTTTGGAAGGTGCCCAAAGGGAAAGCTTATGGAATGTAACACCTGATAGCATGGTATATTTCGTCTTCATTCAACTAATTTTTGATGTCTTATTTCCCGAGAAGTTTTGTTCCATTGGAAAAAATAAGTCCAAACCATTCTTATGTTACAGTCAATGACCTGTAAAACTTTTAACCAAGCAGCGATCTTGAAATGCCTCAGACAAAAGGTGAAGTCATGAGAGATAATGCAGGAGCAGGAAAAAAAAAAGAGACAAAGGTGCAAAAGTTGGGTACCAGAAAGGAAAATAAAAGTTAAGGGGTCTACTCCCAAACAGGTAAAAAATTCCAAAGATTGGGAATTGAGGAACAGAAATGAGGAATGGCTGTACGCCAGGACAAAGTAAACAAGTCAATGATAAGAATGAGGCATGTTAATATGAGTGTGCAGGTGTTTTAGAAATGAGTCCATATGGACCCAAATGTTAGGTGAAAGAAGGAAGACAAAGTAGTTTCAAATTTGGGTTTCATATAGTAAAGCACAGAAGGTATCAAAAGACAAAGGGAAAAACAGAGAGAAAATAACATACCTGTGAAATCATGTCAAAGAAGATATGAAAAGAGTAAGTACTTTCCTCCACAGCCAAAGTTGTGACTAGAACAAACCATGTTGGGGAAGATAGCCTGTCATATCTGTTAACATCCTGATGACATCCAAATTGGGGAAAAGGAATGTAAGCTGAATGGCCAGGAGGAGGAGGCCACTGTGCTTGAAGGAACTCATTACACAATGAGCAATGGCAGTCACATCCTCCACAGACAATGAGCCCCCAGAAGCCACATTAGAAACATAATCACTAACACAGGACAAGGTGGAAGTTACTATCACTTGAGAAGTTATAATGGGTAAGTAGGAAAAAATATATATTATGTTTTGTTTTTTCTGTTACTTATGAAAGAAACCAATGACAGTTAAACAAGATTTAAGTTTTGTAAGTTATCACAAATCTCATGTAATTAATTAATAATTTTAAAGCATGTCCGTTCTAGACAATGCCGAGGAAAAGAACAAAGTTATTTCAAGTGCTTAAGTGAAGTTACTGCACAAGAAGGTTGTGTCGATCCTTCTACGAGTGGAAGGCCCCCATCATATGATGATATCAATATGCACTAGTGCAGTTCACAATAAACATTATTTTTAGGTGGGAGTTAGCTCAAGGATAGTAGCATGCAAGTCTCATAGTCAAGTGCACAAGGGATCAAGCTATTCTGTGTGAAGGGGTGAGGTATCATTTTGGAATATCCACATTTTACAAGACCTTTCTTCAAAAAGTCACTTCTTTAAGTACCATACGGCTAACTGGAGTGGCAAAGTCAGTAATGTGAAATAAGATACTGATAATAAACTCCAATTTAAACTATTTTATTTAAAAACTGACATTTTAGTTTAGGCCTTCAACTAGCACCTAGTGCCTAGAGTAGACACAAGTCCACACTGAAGGCATAAGCCCAAACTCAAGTTTGTATAAAATAAAGTTTTAAATGGAGTTTGCTGTCATTTTTCAAAAACACATAATTTACTTTTGAAAACCTGCATACATGTACATACATATATGTATTTAAACTTATTTTTAATACTCAACCTTAAAATAGACCATTTTGGGTTGAAACAAAAAAAAATTTACATTATCTCCATATTGTAAATTAACATGAGAAACTTCCATGTGTATTCAAGCTTAGCACATGTATATACAGCAAGAGAATATTCTCTTATATTCAATAATATTATAGAATTAAAAATTCTTAACAACAATAAAAGGTTTCATACAGAACATAAAATTACCTACATTTATATAATCTTTCACTTTTTCAAAAATAAAAACATTGAAACTTAGCATACATCATAAAATTTATTTATTTTGAATTTATTAATACTTGATATGCAGGAAGTACAGTGAATTATTATCTAAGAATAGCACAGAATCTAAATTAAGCAATTTTTTGGTAATTATCTGTTTATACTTCTTTTAGAATGACAAAACCTCCATTCCTTTATTTTTTACACTAAAGAGGTAAATGAAATCTATAACGTACAAGATACTACACATCTAACCTCTGACATTATGTGTGGTAATAAGTTTTATTATATTAATTAAGTGCATTACACATGGTAAATATGTCATATTTTATTACACCTGTAAATAGAGCTACTATCAGTTAGAAGCTATAACCAGCATTTGACAAATTATTAACCACATCAGTAAAATGCAAACAAAATCTTAAGAATTTCAATTTTTGAATGGTTGGTCAAAATGATCTTAAAACCTTAGGAGTAAAATAGATGTGTGAATTTTGTTGAAAAATAAATTTAAAGGAGATGTCAAACTAACAGAAAAACTTTTAATATGATGCCATTTGAATATCTGTCTACAATATTGAAAGTTTAAACATACTTGTCACAACATTAGATTTGAACTTTAGGATTGACAGAATGTAAACAAAGAATAATACAGAGAGCTGAGTACGTTATAATTAAAAATGATTTTGAATATGCAAATCAGCAGGCCATGTGACAACTACAGCTGATATGAAGTCACAGTAGAATGGCATGCATCAAAATTATATTTTGACAATGAAAATTGATACCTTTTGGGAAAGTATGTAAAAGCCTCATAAAGACGTGTTCAGGTTGGCAATTCACAATTTCAAACATAGAACTATCCCTTAAACAAAGGAAAACAAAAGCAGAGGGGCAACTAAGGGCAGAAGGAGGATCCAAAAAGAAATCTGCAACAAGTCATATCCTAGCAATAGTAAGCAACGTATGGTGTCTGGTAAAAGATTAAAATCTATGAACCAAAGTTTAGAAACAAAAGCCATCCATATACCCAAGGGAACAGTACGCAACTTAAGAAGTGTCTCTATCTGGACAAAAGGCTAATAGAGTACAGATTCATGAAGAAAAAGCTTCCAGCCATAACCCCCATTTAACTGTTGCATACCTCAAGCAGCCATAAAATGAAATGGATGTTCAGGACAAAACTAAACATTTTTTTATTAATGGGCCAGTTCGAAAATTATTTTTAGCAACTTGATACCCCCCCCTTTCTATTTGCCGGATCATTTTGCCATTTACCCTTTTTGTTCTGCAAAGTATTTAGTTTTCTGAATGTCACTTATCATCTTTAAAGTATTTATAAATCAAAAAACATTTTCCGCAAAACATACCGGCTTATATGATGGTTTACTAGCATCGGCAATACACTACTGGTAAATGTGCAGTGAACGTAACCAGGTAAGCCATTTCCCAGCACACAGAGTAATGGCATCACTATCATTCCAGAGAAGTAAAATAGTTTTACACTGCAATCTCAATAATACTACAAATTCCTGCATAATCATTTAAGCTTTCAGAATGCACCATTTATGATTTCTTTATTAAAGTTTCCAGGGGACGTGCCTTTGAAAATTGTTACTGCTGGTAACTTGAATGGGGTGGTGGAGGGGTGGAATAGCCTACCTACCTACCCATACCTCAGAGAGGTGAGTAGGCAATTTCAAACAAATAATTTTTTTAAGCTTTTCCCCATGCTACTCCATATGAAGACATATCAGTTAAATTGCCAGATGCAGCACCTGTGGATTTCATTGCAATTGGTAGAGCTTAGCAATCAACTTGACTAATCAATTACATCAATTAGTGTCAGGTAAAATAATCTATTAATCAAAATTATGATTAAATCCTTTAATGTCATGGAAATAATAAACTAAGTTAAATTAGCTTTTCCAATTATTCCAACAATCCAAATCATCTAAAAACTTCCAATACTATAGGATTCCTCATTATTATTTTTGATTAATTCAAGGTTATTCAGCTTAATTGATAAGTATCACAACTCATGAAAATAATCAACTAATTGATATTAGTGTTTTCCAATTATTACTACTATCAATTATTCCAACTATCCAATTCCAAGTCTCATGCAGCAATAATCAATTAGTTGAATTTAACTGATCCATCAATAAATTCCACCAATCATCCTGCTGCAGTGATCAGACAGTTAAAACAGGTGCTGGGAAACTGTCATCCTTTTATGTTAAAAAAAATATTCTTCTTTATAGTAAAAGCTGTAACTTATAATAATAAAATTTAGAATAACCACACCAGTGATCAAAACATCAAACTTGTTTTAAAAAATATTCTTTCTTACATTACTGTAATTTAAAACTGTACCTTTTAATTAAAAATGCTTGTAATCAGTAAGTAAACTCAAAACTATTAATGTTAGACTCAATTTCTAACTAGAGTTATGTAGATCGTATTTTCTGAACATTAAGACTCCAATTCGTCATAGCATTACTGATACTACTACTATCGGAATATTTAAAAAGGTACGACATGGTACGAAGTTACCTACTTGAGAAAGGTAGCACATTATGCTAATATAATTATATATAGACAAACAACGATTTATAAACATAAGAAAAAGTTTTATTGATGGTGGAACATACTACATGTTTCGACAGAACTTTACTCTGTCTTCTTCACCTATTATCAACGTTCTATCGAAACATAGCTACTTACCCTAATTTAGGCTTATGGCTAAGCGCCAACTATTTGTAATACTAATATCCTATTGGTATTACTATTAACAATAGTATATCAAATAAACATTTTAACACGCTAAAGAATTGTAGCGTATCATTAATTTACCTGAGACAACCAAAGCCTCGTTCGGTCCACATGTTTCAAATCCTGGCATATTTGTATGTCAAGAACTAACAACGATTTTATTACACAAGTAACATCAATTACCTAACCAACGCCTAACGCTAGGCCTTCTTACACAAAACTTCAATAGGGTATAGAAATTCACTAATTGGTAGATTAATCATATACACTTATAGATAAACAAATATGATATGTAATAGACAGAGATCTGGAAAACATAAAATTTTAATAAGATTTTAATGTGTCGCAAAGCTAATAGTAATACTAAAATTAATATTAATTATAATTTACACAGGGGGATGCAATAAAGTTTTCCATTTGTCCTTGAGCAGTTATTTGTCTTAGTTTAAGATTTTTATTTTTCAGGTTTTATATAGTTAATTAGTCCGAAGGTTCCTGATCTTTATAATGAATTTTTATTTAAATATTTTTAAGCATAAAATCAAGACTGAGTTAAGGATTGGAATCTATATAACAGTATTTTCCCCAAACTGTGTTTTTCCATTTCTGATAATGTCTAGATCTTAATTCAGTAAAAAATAGGTTTGACTCCAAACAAGACTGCAATATGATTTATTTTGGTACGGTTCTTTTGGAAAATCCCCCCAGTGGCACAACGGTTTTCTGTGGATTTACACCGCTAGAAACCGGGTTTCCATACCCGTGGTGGGCAGAGCACAGATAGCCCTTTGTGTAGCTTTCTGCTTAACTACAAACTAACAAATCTTATGGGAAAATAACGCTTTTTAACATATCAACAATCCTAAGAATACCAATAGTAGGTTATACAAATTTGTTATTACGACAGCGGAAGTCACGCAACGCTGGAAGCATGCACGCTGGAGTTTCTCGAAGGATCATGAATTATCGAGGAACCCCGCGAATGTCTAAGTGTTTGCTATACACCCTTTTTTTTAGTATATAAGCCTGGCGAGAAAAACCGAAGATATTGAATTGAAGATATAGATAATTGAGTCAAGCGAACAGTAGCCACCGTAAGTAAAGTGTGTGTGAATCATTGTGATTTATAGCGTGTGTTATAAAAGTGGTTAAGTTTAAAGTACTGATTGGAAATTCTGTGTATTACAAAGTTGTATCCAGAAAAAATAAACTGGTTTAATTAAGAAAAGACTTGTATCGCTGAAGTTCCTCGGAAATAATTTATACCAGAAATTAACAAACAAGCAGATAGCAACAAATTGGTGTCAGAGAGTGGGACCGAAAATAAAAAATAAAGAAGATGATGATGAAAACGAGAAGTGACAAATCAAACTACAGCTTGGCAGATTTGATGGCAGCAATACAAGAACAATAAATGGAACAAGTAAAACGAAAAAAGAAACAAGAAGAGAAATTACAGCAGTTGTTGGAGGAAAAATAAAAGAAACAGGAGAACGAGAAAAGAAACAAGGAGAGAGACAACAGCAGCTGTAAGAAAACCTGCAACAGTGGCAGCTCAAACAGCAAAATCAACAAGAGAGATTACGGCAGTTGTTGGAGGAAAAAGAAATGAAACAAGAAGAACGAGAAAATAAACAAGAAGAGAGACTACAGCAGTGGTTGGAGGAGAAAGAAAAGAAGCAAGAAGAGAGACTACAGCAGTGGTTG